AGGTGGCTGGACACCACACGGCACGACAAACCCGATCGAACCGTTATACCTAAGGTTTCTGTCGGGTTTTGAAAATGGGCCGAGTTCCCCAACAACTCGCGTAGGGTGCGCTTCACTAAGGATTTATGTTTTCGCATCCACCTGAATAATGTGCAGTTGTGCCACTGAGGAAGAGCACCAGAGTTGAGCCTTTTGTCATTCAGTGTCATCAACAGAAAGAAAAAAAGGCAGGAAGAGACGATAAAGCCGATGATTAAAATGAGATCGATGGGTTTAATTTATCATGCGATTAATTGATATATCGCTTATCGCGACAGGCCTAATAAGACGTCAAACTTTATAACTTTTTTACCGTAAATAATTTTTTAACTTGTTCACCATAAGTCACATGCGTCAAACTCGAGGCCGGGGGGCCAGGTCCGGCCCGTCGTAGCTTTTTATGTGGCCCTACGGATCCTTAAAATTCACAGAAAATGAACAAATCTCCACATTTTTTCAGATTTTTACTCAATATCTGTCCCAGAAACATTGGGTTTAATTGACTGCCGCCTCACCTGATGCCAAGTTATAGTCTGTGATCGAAACGGGGAGTAATGAGAGGCACATTCAACATTAGCGCAAATATCATCAAAATTCCTGACAAATATTTCTAAGTTTGCTTCACAAATTATGTGATTTTGACTACAAAAACTGTAAAATCTTGGAGGAGCTGCCATTTATTCATATTTTCACAGTTTAATTGGTTTTACCAAAGCATTCTGGCACCACCGGCCCTTTAAGAACATTCAGATTTTTGATAAAATGAAACTGAGTTTGAGCCCCTGCCGTAAATAACACGACACATTTAAACACAATTCGGCATTTCTAAATCAAAATACTTATTTTTTAGTTTGCTTCTCCTGTAAGGTTCAGATCATAACAACACCGGTATGACGTAAGCTAATTAGAAAAGATGCTAATGCAGGTTTTAGCAGGGTTTCCCCCAGTAAACCTGCTCAGCCCGGCGCTCCGCCGTGTTTTTGTATTAAAGATGTTAAGTTGACAGGAAACGTAAAAATATTACTGGGTAATTATATGTTACAGGAAAACATCTCCAGTGAAACGCTATTTAAACCCACA